CGGAAATGTTGAGTAGTTCAGAAAACCAGCAAATCCCACCTCTGACTGGAGATTTTACAGTATCCTTCCCCTGCCACGCCCACCAAGCCACGCCCACAGAACCGGTAGTAAAAAAATTTGAATCCCACCACTGGTCAAAGTTAAAGAAAAGCCTTTTCCACTTTATGTTTTCAGAGCTGCAAACATTTGTCCTCTTTATGGATTTTACTGGTGCACAAAGGTTAGATTCAGATTTTAAAAATATACAGAAACATTGAGAAACTGCTTTTTTTTAAACTAGACCTAAGCATTTTTTATTTGTTTGTTTATTCAATTTGTATAGCCAACCATTTGAACCTAATGAACAACCATAAAACAGTTAAAATAATACAAAAAATAAATTAAATACAAACAGCAGCCAAGAGATATTATACCCGTCAGTGTCCCCATAACCAGGAAACAAGCCCCTTCACACACTCAAGATCCCAGGCCCAGGCTCATAATCAGATCTTCAAGGCCTTCCAAAAGAGCAACAGAGTATAAGGCCCATCCTAATCTCTGGAGGGAGAATGTTGCAGAGGGCAGGCGCTATGGCCAAGAAGGCACATCTAGTCCCGCCAGCTGACATTCAATGGTTAATGGGATCCAGAACATACACATCCTGCTGGACCAGATAGAAATAGCTGGGGGAAGGCAGACCCTCGGATAATTCTTGAAGGGCTTTACATGTGACAATCAGCTCATTAAATTGCACCCGGAAGCACCAGTGTAACCCCTGAAGTAGTGGTGCTTCATGAGCTGAACAGCTGATAGCATTTATAACCCTAAAATGATTAAATTATTGAATTTGCTTCCAGAAAGTTAGCATTGATCGTCAGTTTGAAAGGCATTAAAAAGGTAAATAAGTTTATTAACAATCGAGTACTAAACAGCTAGTAGTGAAGCTGATTCTGTGTTACCTCCAGAATCAGGAGCAACAGGACCTAAACATAGTTGGAACTTCCGAATGCTCTTAAGGAAGCCCGTTTGCAATACATTGCAATAGTCCAAACAGGAAATCACAAGGGCATGAGTGACAAAAAGCAGAGCCTATTGGTCCAGGAATGGCTGGACAGATACATAACTCAAAGGAATGCAAATGTCCTCTTCCCATAGCTACCTCCTATTCTTCCAAGATCAGCTGTGAGTTTAAATTCTGTTGGAGGGAGGAAGAGATGTTTATGAAGTAAATGTGATTTTTATTAACAAGGCAGCAATCCTACAAGTCTTTATCAAAGGAAGTGTAGAGCTTCTTCTGAGTAAACCTAAACGCTGCACTACAGTATTACATAGAATTTTTTAATATGAAATTTTGATTATAGTGATCTTACACTTTTCTACCGGTGCCCTTACCTTTTAACACACTGTTTATTTATTTTTAATTCTAGTCTCTCCACCACTTCCCAACAACTTTCAACTGCCGTCTTCTTTCTGCCTTGCACAGCCATTCGGCATTGAAATGCAGAAAGGCTATCCATCTTTCCAAGCTTTGGAACCTATGTGGAATTGGTGTAATAGTTAAGGTTTGGGTATTGGTTGCGGACTGTGGATTTTATATAATTGTGAGTCACCAGAATCTATGATTGTGGCAGCATACAAATTTTAGTAAATAAATAAATAGTTGTATCTTCTAGGAACTGGTTTCTCTCATTCTGGATGAAGAACGCAGGAAAAGATTGACTTCTGCATGCAGCAAGGTCCTTCAGGATTTCCCAGAGTCCCGTGGTCCTGTTATTCTGGAAGTTGGTTGTGGCTCAGGGGCAATTGGTTTAAGTCTTCTGAAAAAACTTCCTTATGTAAGTGACATTTCAGTAGATTTTTTTTTTCCTTCCATTCAGTTGTGTCCAATTCTCAGAGGCTACCTGGACATGTCCCTGAATTTTTCTTGGCAAGGTTTTTCAGAAGTGGTTTGCCATTGTCTCCTTCCTACGGTTGAGAGAAAATGACTAACCCAAGGTCACTTAATTGATTTTGTGCCCAAGGCAGGACTAGAATTCAGTCTCCCAGATTCTAGCCTGGTGCCTTAACCCAGGGGTCCCCAACCACCGGACCCCGGAACGGTACCAGTCCGTGGATCATTTTTTACCGGGCCGCAAAGCTTGGGCGCCGCCATCTTGTTTCGACGGCGCTTCCGGGTTTTCGGTTGCTTCCAGGTTTTCGGTTGGAAAGTGCTTCCGGGTTTTCAGTTGGAAAGCGGCGTTTGGGTGCTTGCGCCTTAGTTTTGTCGAAGGGGGGGGCGGCTTTGAACGAAGAGCCGTCCCGATGGCGGTGGAGTCTCGCGTTACTCAGGTACCGGTCTGTGGAAGAATAAATAATCGTGAAACCGGTCCCTGGTTCAAAAATGGTTGGGGGCCACTACCTTAACCCATACACCAAATTCTGAATCATGCTAACCTTGTCCTTTTTTTCTTAGAGCAAAAATGAACAAGGAGAACAAAGATGAGCCACTTTGACTTCAACGTCCCATTTCAATTCCTCTTCTTTTACTGATTAAGCTGGCTTTGTGTTATCTCCAAAATGAGGAGCAATTTGGCCTGAACACCAGTTGCTGTATAGTAGGCCTCTTGGCCTATATAAAACTCATGGGCTGCCTTGATTGCTGATTGTGTAAACAGAAACCTGGATCCGTTTTATCTTAACCTGATCCAGTATGGCTCTTCTTATCTTCTTAGAAACAGATTTGTGATCATACCAGAAAGTGGTTTGTTATAGCCTGATACTGTTTAGCGTGATTTGCTTATTTAATAGGTTAGAAAGATGCATGAATCTAGAGTAATTTGGAAACCATGGATTATGGCCTGGCATGTTGCATGTTCCCAACAATCAACATTTATTCTTTTAAGCATGGTTTATACCATTGTACAACTTTGCCAGAAAGCACATGGAAAGCTGTAACCAGATAAAATTTGCTAGTTTGCATTTTAAAAGTATATCCTTCCCTGATATAGATTAATAAAAGCTCATTTCCAAAACATTGCATTTAGCATTGCTCACTTCAAACTACTTTTTCCCAAGGATATTCTACTGTGTTTGACAAATGCTTTCATATTTGCTTTTATTATGCTTTGTCTCTTTTGTTCCTAGAGTCAGCTTATTGCCATCGATAAATTAGAAGCTGCTGTTAATCTCACCAAGGAAAATGCAGAACGGTAAAAATCTTTTATCTTGTATATTACAGTGAACACATTATTTGAGCCAAAACAGCATACTCTGGGGACGAGAAGATTGTTGCCAGAATGTTTGAGAAAACCCAGGTTTTGCAAAAATAACTGGAGCTTCAGACAAACACTCCATGCTGTTTTGCTCTGTTGGTACAGTTTGTATATTGATCAAATATCCAAAAACACACCGTGGAACTCATGAAACAATGCAGAGAAAAAGCATAAGTTTTACTATTCTTATAAATTTCATTTTATTATTACAATTAGACAAATTTCCAAACATTTGATACATTTGGTATTCCTGACTTGGCAGCAGTAATCCTTCATAATGGAAGAAGTTCTTCCTTGAAAGAGTTAATTGAACATTCTAATGAATGTTGCAATGAAACTATCAAGCAATTTGTTTCCATTTAAAGTTTCAAGAATATAAACTTACACATTAAAAAAAAGGATTTTGAATAAACATTGAAAGCAAGAGGCTAGAAATTTTCGCAATCTTTTGGACACATTTCAAAGAAATACATAGGGAGAAATATTGCATCATGAGCTATTTCTCAACAGTTAAAAGTTACTGAACTTACAGACAACAGATGGATTACCTTTCAAATTTCAGACAGTATAGATGCAGAGGCTTCGTTGTATAAGTACTTTGGTGACCAAGGCATCTAAAATGAGCAGTCATAAAACCAGCCTATAATTTATTTTTAAAAAATTGGGTGCAGCTACGTGATGTTTCACTTTATGACTGCTTAGCAATGCAATTGCCAATTCTTACTGCAGTCAATAAGTTAGAACTACCTACACTGTTTACAGATGACACACACATATATATATGACAGAATGAGGGAAAGGAACAATATTCATCTGACTTGTTTTAATCTCGTTTTAAAATTAATTGGCATTAATTCTTGAAATAAGTAATTGTTTCTCAGTATCAAAATATAAATGTTCAAAAGGACCGTGGTGTTCCGATATCTTCCATAATCTACTGGTTTTTTTGGCTAACTAAGGTGATTGAACACCTCCTCGTACATGTTTCCTTCCATGCTGTTTTTTTTTTTTTTTAGTTGCTGTTCAGCTTTCGCCTGAAATGCAGTATGCAATATTCTAAATATAGTATGACCAACACGGAATAAAGAGCAATGATAACTCTACACCTATACTTCTGTTAGTGCATTCATATATATTTGAAGTAATGCAACAATGATTGAAAGGCTGTTTCGTAATACTGATGCATAACTATGGGAATAACAGAATTGTAGGATCACATCTCTCTCTGGGAGAACATCAGTTCTGATTTACAAATATAAATAACTTTTCTGTTGCAGGCAAGCAAAATAATTTAAAACTGCCACAGAAAGAAAAGTCTGTTTATTAAAAGTCATAATAATTTAGCAAAGGACTGTTACACAGAAGATTAGAATTTGCAAAAAAATCTATGGAGAGTCTCAGTTATCCAGATCATGATTGTCCCACAGGTGCTTTTCCAGGAGACAACAGGACTTTCTTGTTTTTCCTTTGAAGACATTTCACTTCTCATGCAGGAAGCTTCTTCAACTCTGGCTGGATGGTGGGGAATGGAAGGATTTGTATTCCTTGCAGACAGCTGGCCATTTGTATCCTTTTAGACAGTCGTTGAGGCACTTGGAGGTTTATCTGTGTCCTCAGGGATGCAAATGACCACTGTCTGCAAGGAACATAAATCCTTCCATTCTCCACCATTCAGTCAGAGCTGAAGAAGCTTCTTGGATGAGAAGCAAAAGATCTTCAAAGAAAAACCAGAAAGTCTAATTGCCTCCTGAAAAAGCACCTTTGAGACATTAGAGTTTACAGCGGAACACATGTGTATCCTATAACCTGAGTTTGATTACCAGTCCCCTTACCACAGCTCTGTCTGCTGTTATTTAGTAATCAGCTAAAATGGAGCAGTAAATACAGTATATGTTTTATATGCAGTTGTGGCTATAGCTGAGGAAATATCTGTCTGGAATCTGAATTCAACAATAGTGAACAGGATAATCTAATAATCTGACTTGACATAAGGCAGATACTCATATTTCTTCTTTTTTTTCCATCTAAAAACTTCAAACATATTCAGAATTGATCTTACATGAGCTCACTGACAATAATGTTGGGCAAATGTATTTGTACCCAAAACTGTCCTCCAGAGTGGTACAAACTCTGCAGAATAAGAGTGAAGATCTCCTGCCTTGACTTGCAAATGCCTTGCCTCCCTTGCCATAAAAAAGGTAACTGTTCAGGAAAGCAGGGCTAACTAAGAACAAGCACAAACACGGATTTTTCCACATATATTTCTGCCCCCTTCATTATAAAGTCACTGAGTTTTCTCATCTATGTAAAAATGCAACATAGTTCTAATTCCAGAAGCACCCCAATTTCAGTGGGGTTCTTTCCACCAATAACCTCAAGCCCTTTCTAGTAGAAATTGAGCTAGAAATTCTTGTCATGCTATGTATGGGAAGCACTATGGAGCTATAACTGTTTCTCTTGTACCATTCTTAACTCTTAACATTGGTAGCCAGAAACCAGTGCATTTGCATTTGTTAATGATGGTGCTTTAATTGTTTTTTTTTTTTACAGTTTTAAAATATTTTATTTACAAGAAAAATTTTAAAAACAAACACAAACATACAATTATACAAAAATAAAATAAGAAAAAATGTGTAGTTGGAACAATAAACATATTTCTTTCTATTGCATTTGATGGTAGATTGGATATTTCATAATAAACAATAGTAAATAGTAATTGGCAAGTATTCCTTGTCACTTATAGATTTCATAATAGAAGAGAAGCTTGAGATCACTATTATTATGCATTCAATATATACAACTATATACAATGTATTTCTTAGATTCATTTATACTTTAATTGTTAATGGATGTAAATTCTGTAATGTTTATGAGTGTTTTCCTCATCTGCTGACATCTGTAGAAGAGAGTGCAACTGTTTTCCATTCATGGGGGAAACCCCAATTTTGAGGAAGGACACTTCTTGCTGCTTCACTTGTTATTAAAAAGGGCTTTCTCATGCCAGTGGAAATTATTCTTCCACTTATAGACAGAATAACTCCTCCTGTAAACAAAGCTACACACATACAAAGTCCTTTAATAAAAGCACAACAGATATCTTTCCAGGATGATATAATCAGTTTGCACTCAGTTTAATATTCATATACTGTATTGAATGATTAAATCAGACCCTGAAAGGACTTGAAAGAATGTCCCCACCCTTGCTCTCAGCCTAGGTCCTCTTTACTTTGAAGTGTAGGCTGGAAAGGAGCATGCCAAATGACATCTTTCTTATTTTGTATACTTTGCAGTTTTCATCTCAGCATAATTAGCTTGAATTTCCCTGGTGAATAATGCATTGTGCTTTGTTTTATTACTGTTTTTAAGTTATTTTACATCATGTTTTTGCCCTGATTAGAAAAAGTTGATCACTAAGTCATTGATAACGTCAATGGATAAAAACGGAACTATGTTAATATACTAGGTTAGTTTTAGAAGAGGAGATGCCATATTTTTCTTATTTATGCTTCTACTGGTGCTCGAGGTAAAAATCTAAATTTTGGATGTTACAGTTTGTCAAATTATCTTCAGAGCTGCAAACAGCAGAATCTGATAAAGAATTGCTGGTAAAAAAATCAACATGAAACTTAACACATTCACCTTTTTTAATTTCTAGTTATAACTTTGCCAAACTCATTTCCCTGCAGCTGTTTCCCTGAGACCAGCATGTTAAGCCATGTTATCTTCCCATCTAAGACAATTATAGGTTTCTCCTGCCTCTTAAACTGCATGTGAAAATGTCAGCGTGTCCCTGTGGGCAAAGCAAATAAGAGTCATTTTCTGCTAATGGGATGCCCCACCTAAATGTCTCAAAGGCTTGTGGTTACAGAATAAATTTTCTGTTTTGATCCTATTTTCTTAACTATGATCTGCCTTAGACTTAAGAATCTTCGATAGTCATATCTGGGCACAGCTATGGAATTTGACATCTCTTTCTCTAAAGTTCAAGAACTCTGCCTTCACTTATAAATCTATGAAATGGTGTGGAGTCCAGAATGGTGCCCTGTGATACCCCACTTAACACTTTCCTTTAACTTGTATTGGAGCTATTGGGTGCATTCAGTAGGTACAATTGTTTCAAACCATTTCTGTATGGAAGCACAATGCAACCTACATTGTGTTATCTTCTTTACTGGAAATCTCACGGAAGACTTTTTTTTTTTTTTTTTTTTGCTGAATGCTTTGCTGATGGCACACCAGATTATGTCCATCACATTTCCTTGATTATCTAAATTGGTCAAAAAAAAAAGATAAGGTTGTTTACAAATGATTTATCCTTAATAAGCCCTCACTATTAACAATTAGCAATGCATTTCTTTTTCTACATGATTTATTTAACAGTTACATTATAATGTACTCTAGAATTTTGTATGATATCAACATCAATCTCTAGTTACTCAGAGTTTTTTTTTTTGTATTTCTGAAAAAAAAAAAAAGAATAGTATTTGCCCTACTCTAATCCTTTGACACTATGGCCATTCGTGTTTTTTTTTAAGTTCACAGAAAGGACTTTGAAATATCTACCAATTCTTTAAAGATTCTCAGTTATAATTGGTGGTGTCCTGAAGATTTCCACTCATTTGTGGTAGCCACATGCTCCTTGACTATTTTTTTACTAACCTTGCATTTCCATTTCCTGCTTTCATCATTCATTCTGTTTATGTACGTTTGAGGATATAGATAGTCTTTGACTTAGGATCAGTCTCTTAACAACTGTTCAAAGTTACAATGGACCTTCCCAGGGCTACTTACAATCCAATTTTGAAATTCAAAAGCCAACCTCCACGCCTGCGGTCGGGTGATCGCATTTTGGGCAACTGGCCTGCATTTATGGTCTTGTATACATCCCAGTCACATGACACTGATTTTTTGCTAGAAACCGGCATTTAACTTTCCAT